AAGAATTGCATCTAAGGACTGGTTCGAAAAGTACGAGTCCCAATTAGAACATCTAATTAGGTGCTGATACAAGTCCCAGTCAGCATGTGTGTACAATCTCATAGGTATCTGGCCAGCTTCATCTCTGCGTTTTGTTTCAGGAAAGATGTCAAAAGAACAAACTACTATTCTATGGTCACTACCTGGAAATTCATGTCCAACATGTACGGTAGATGGCGTTATGTTGTTCGTGAAAATAAGGTCTAGGATATTTGCGGATCTAGTGGGTGAATTTATGTGTTGTGTCCACCCTCCTGTGACGATGGAATTTATGAGATTATCGTACCTTTGGGGTCCTCGGAGTGAAGACCATGATACTTCTGGCAAGTTGAAATCGCCTCCGATAATTTTATAACTGAAAGGAAGATTGGCTGTAACATTAAAGATATTGCTAAGCATATTATCATATTCCCTGCTGGATGAAGGGGGCCGGTACACACAACCCACAAGTATAGGTTTACTTCTGACAACTTTTATTTCGACCCAGATCGAGTCATTGAGTTGTGACAGAATTGGGTTACTAAACTGGGTTGCACACATGGATTGTTCACAGTAAATTAGTGTTCCACCCCCACGACCTGTCCGTCTGTCCCCGCGAAAAAGGTTGTATTTATCAATCCTTAGGCTGTCATTGGAGATTTCACTTGTGCACCAGGCTTCGGTGATCATAATCAATGACGGTCTGCATATAGAAGCTATTGTACTTAGTGCTAAATGTTTGCTTAGAACTGATCTCGTATTTACTAGGATAATAGATAAACACTGGCTATGTGGTTTCAGTGAGCGGACAACATCTTGGTAAAATAATCCGTGAGTATCCTCTATATACATGTTATCAGACTCATTTACCAATATCTTTGGATCGTAGGAAGACTTCAGGTAGATTTTTGAGGTGGTAGTCAGGGATGGGCTTACGTTTGGATATGGTATGCAGTGAGAGACACCTGTGTGATAATCAGATATTAATATTTTAGAGATATTAGTATCCGCGTTTGGTGTCGACACTGTGTCAGCTATCTCCCGGGAAATATGCCTTGCCCTAGCTGTAGACTGTTCGCTATGCCAGCAAGGAATTGATCCGATATCATGCGTGCTATATGCATGATTCCAGGTGTTTCTGTTAACTGACGCTGGTGAAAATCCTGCCCTAAGGTATAACCGATATGTGTATTCGGTAATTTGTTGCCAGTATAAGAATGAAGTGTTGGTATCTGTTTCTGGTATTCATCAGACCATGGCAAGTTTTGTGCAGAAATCGGCACATGCTCCCCACTAGACACATAAGATATATGAATGGGTTCTGTTGGCTTGCTAAATGTGGTCTGTGGCCGATGTTTGGGGTATTTTCTATAACTTTCAGTAGACAGAATATTAGAAGTGGGCTGGTTGACAAGGGGTTTACGTAGTGGATGTGCAGAACAATACCTACTACTTTGCTGTGCTGTTTGTCTAGAATTAGGGATTCGATAAAATTGGCTTTCCACTTGGCACCAATTAGGCCTACCCCTAGGAGCTTCGTCTACCATATTTGACTTTCTCTTAGAAAGAAGGCCTAGAGGTGCTTTCGTCTCTTTCATATCAAAGGGCTTTCTTGCTCCGGGTCTAGTATTTAATTTATTTACTTCTTTTTCCCCTATCTTATGATTATCTGGCTGATGATGGCTAACAGGGCAGTCAGCACATGCTATGTAGGGTTTCTGTGGCTTGAACACCTCATGAGCTTTAGTTTTCTTAATGGAAATGGGACGTTTGTCATAACGCCTAGAAAACTTGCCAACTTGGGTGGCTACATTCGACTGGTGCTTTACAGAGTGTGGATTGTCAGACCGAGGAGTAACTGACTTATAAGGCAATGGTTGGACCACCAGTGGGATGGGTTTTGATGGTTTCGGTGTCTTGACTTTTGCGTCAGTGTGAAAACGATGTATTTCAACATTATTTCCCGTTGACTCATCTATGTCCACCATTTCAGTGTCTGCATCAATATCGTTATATAATGCTTGGCTAACATTAGCCACTACCTGCGAAAATGTCTGTTGCATGCCGTGATCAGATATTTCAATAGACGGAATAACGCACGGAACATCATCTACAGTTATCCTATTAGAGTTATCAGGGTTCACTGTTCCTGAGCGGCATCGCCTTTGGCATGGTGTTAAATCAGGTGCAACCCTAATGTTAGTGTATGGTGTTGAAGAGCCTATTTTCTTACCCGATTTCAGAAAATTCCTGGCTTCTTCGGTAGACCTAAACTTGAAAAGCACAGGACACGGGTGGTTTGCAGATTTCTTACGAAGACGCAAAACCTGACATTCTGTCAACGACATATTACAAGCCTTTAGACACGAATTCTTAAGTTTGGCAATCGGCTCTCTGTCTGGAATGTTATAGGCCAAGACGTTATGTGAAGACATAATCCTCTTAACAGCTTCTTCAGCCAAATAGTCAATTATGCGCTCGGATTTGATTAGTGATTCAAAACAGATGTTTTGTGGTGGGTCACACAGTTGCGTGAGAGGCATAATGCTGTCAAACTTGCTCTGTAGTTCTGCTATTGACTTCTGAAGTGTCAGTAAATCATTTTTGCTACAAGCCGCATTCTCTGCTAATTCCTCCATGATATCAGATACCATAACTCTGGGTATGGCTGGTGTAAACAGTGTAGAATTGTCAACGGAGCTGAGGCCTTCAGATGGCTGACTAGTATTAGATCTCAGTCTCTTAACGGTACTTACACGTTTGATAGACTTAACCATTACAGAAATAAGAAACTTCACAATTTCCGGAAAAAAAGTCTTGAGGATATGAAAATAAGATAGCTGTATTATCGAAGTATCAAAACAACAACGATAAACAGATTTATATTGCAAAAATAAAAAGTCAGACTTTCCTTTACAGAGTTTGCTGTGGATAAAGTCTTGAGTTCCACGTAGTTAGATATGGTATCCGAGGATTCTTGACGTAGATTTCACGAGTGAATGCTATATGTTGTTCCAGTTGATACAATACAATCCTTGTTGACTATGGATAACTGGATAATGTGATGAAAGCGGCTAATTTCCAAAATATTAAGGAAAGATGATTCACGCAGAAAGTGAACACCCGTAGCGCAAGCGTTCAAAAAGTTCTTATTGACGACCACATCAGGGAATATTTTGATAGGACTAATATACTACATGAAGCCCAACATGGTTTCCGAAAAGGCAGATCCTGCGTTACTAACCTACTATCAGCTTGGGACGACTGGACAACGTGCTGGGATATGAATGTTCCATCCCATGTGGTCTTCCTAGACTTTGAGAAGGCATTTGACACTGTTCACCATGACCTTCTCCTATATAAAATAAGCCAGGCAGGTATAGGTGAGCCACTTCTGTCATGGTTAAAGGAATACCTAGCCGACAGGCAATTTTGCACTAAGGTTAACCGAGTTCGATCATCTTGGCACAGCTCGTCATCAGGAGTGTCGCAGGGTTCTATCCAAAGACCACTGATGTTTTTGATTTTCATCAATGACCCACCACGCCGTCTGAGCTGCCCGACTCTCCTGTACGCTGATGACGTAAAAATATGGAGGGCGATAAAGTGTCCGGAGGACTCAGATAGGCTACAGGAAGACCTGAACCTTCTGGAAGACTGGGCGGTGGCCAGTGGCATGACTTTCAACTTGAAAAAGTGCAAAGTAGTGAAGTTGCGCACCTGTAGACTGCAGAATGCAAGTTACACCCTGTGCAATGAAAGCTTGTCCTGCACAACGTCGGAACGCGACTTAGGTCTAGTTCTAACGGAAAAAATGGACACAAGCGTAAATTACACAGGGGATGTAGCGAGGGCATATGCGGTCATACGCTTCACGCATAGACAGTTAGGTGCACTCACTCCTGAGCTCTTTTCAAGGTTGTACAAAACATACGTCAGGCCACACCTTGAGGTGCATAACATTATTGCACCCCCAATGCTAAGAAGAGACGCCAACCTCTTGGAAAGAGTCCAACGACGGGCAACAAAAGGAGTGGTTGGTCTCCGAAACAAACCGTATGATGAAAGGCTGAAGAAATTAGGCCTGTTCACACTTAGCTACCGTCGGCTTACGGGGGATTTGATTACTGCCTACAAAATGACAAATGACCAGAATCACCCAAACAAAGGTGTTCGGCCATTGAGTAGGTATAGGCTCCCACGTGGAAATCTCAGGAGGATAGCCCACCAGAGGGCAAGAACCCGGGTGCGCTCGCAGTCCTTTTCACTGAGGGTTTGCCGTCCCTGGAATCCCTTAGCGGCAGATGTAGCTATGGCACCGTCTTTGCACGCCTTTAAGCGAAGGCTGGACAACTATGCAGCGACACAAGGACTGCATCCAAATGGCCTATCTCCTTAAAATCGCATACACCATTCAGGGGTAGAAAATTAAACTCGTCGTTTTATTTCTTTACATTCTCTCCCGTCTTACTCTCCTGACAACTTATTAATATTATAATTACTATTACTGTTATTATTATTACCGATATATATATATATATATATATATATATATATTATTCTTCAAACTTAATGATCTGACTGTTGTTACGCTTTCCTATTTCCGTTTCTGTCTCTTAGTCTGAATAACTTCACTAATTATATCTATTATTATTATTACTATTTCTTCTCTCTTGTCGACGATACAGGAGGACTATTTGGCGAAAGGATCAACTCCAGTCTTAGTAGTAACAGTCTTAACATACGTGATACTACGAACCACATATAATTAATCCCAGCACTACTCCCTTTGGAGTCAACCAAAACTACGACAGTCGAGTGGCGGGACAAGCTACGCGGAAGTTTACCAAAGATCAGGAACCTATATCTTACAATCAAGAAGCGAGCACAAAGAAATCAAATTGGTTTATATTAGCTCGTAAAAACGATATTGGATATTGAATTGATTAAACAGCCGGGTAGCACAAAAGTCGCGCTACGGCATGGCGTTTAGGAATCTTCTTTTCGTGAATAAGTTGGGTGAGTTCATTGTGATACTTCTTTTATAAGTCTAAAAAGTTAGTGTCCATAATCCATCACTTAGAAGCCTATATTCGTCAATACCGTTGCTAAAAGATTACTACAGTATATTAGGCGTCAGTAAAACTGCTAGTCAATCAGAGATTAAAAAGGCCTATTATCAAGTAAGCATGTTAATAATGGTGACGTTGCAATTAGTTAGCAAAAAAATATCACCCAGATGTCAACAAGAATGACAAGACTGCAGCACAGAAGTTTCAAGAAGTCAGCGAGGCATATGAGGTGAGGTATTTTGGTATTGTAATAACAATATACTAGGTGCTGGGAGATGAAAATAAACGCAGTCAATATGATAGGTTCGGATCGTCTTCAACGCAGAACAATTTCGGAGGTGGACAGTCACAAGGATTTGAGTTTCACTCTAATATAAACCCAGAAGAGCTGTTTCGACGGATTTTCCGTGATAGTGATTTCGCTTTTAAAGAATGGTCTTCCAGTGATAGAGGTTTTGCAGAATCAATATTTGGATCGGAGGCAACTAAAGAAATACCTGTCAATCTGACGTTTGAGCAGGTATGAGCTAGTAATTTCCGTATGCATATATATATATATATATATATATATATATATATATATCCGTCAGTGGCACAGCAGATAGGACTCGCCGACCATGCAAATGGTCTGGGGTTCGATCCCCTACCGACTCACACCTGATATCAATTATTCGGCCTGCAAAATTTGGGCTACCGACATCACGTGCTGGAAATTCCATACTTGTAGAGTCAGGCTATAATAAAAAATAAAAATGTTGAAGTGTTAATAAACTAGAGTGAATATCGGAGGATCTTGTCACTACTCAAGAAATAGAGATAGATATAGACGAGAAAATTTTGTTGGTGTTTTATGAACTTACCTAAGTTCTCAGGAAATTCAGGAAGATTATAATCCCCGTGATCCATCGTAAATTGATCTGCAGAATTTCTCTTCGTTTCGTTCTTTACATAATTCCTGATTCATTGATAAACGTAAGTTAAATAGGCTGTCTCCCTGCGGGAGTAAGATTAATTTTTTTTAGCTGTTAATGTCGGGTGAATGGGAGCTATGCCTTTTTAAAAATGAAAATTGGGTGCATTCAGTGAATTACCCGGATAAGTTGGTTGTGCACTCATCACCATATTACTTTAAAAACCAACTTTGAATTCCAGTGGGACCACGATGCAGCTTCATTACTCGCCTACTTTTCCCACTTGATACCTTCATATTCTTGAAGTGTATTTTTGTGCATTCATTCTATTTCCAGTCGCTATTCATTTGTTTGTGGGATGTGTTATTTCATGTGCTTTCGTTGCTGTAAAAAGTTTTCATGTACAAGGCTATGAGCCACCTTCACTATCTAATGGCAATTGGAACTAACTAGTTCTCTGGGCTGAAGTAAGCGGACAGGGTGGGAACTCAGTACCCACTGTATGAAAGCCAACATGCCACATCTGCACACTGCATGGCTTAGTGGCGTCAGGTGGTTATTATTTAGATGTTCACGACTTTTTTTTAATGCTATAGCTTATTTTGCCGTTTTATACTTGTAGGCTGCCAGAGGTGTAAATAAGGAAGTTAGTGTTAATATGGTAACTAATTGTCCGCGTTGTGGAGGTTCCCGTGCTGAGCCTGGAACGGGTTTGTCAACCTGCCCAAGCTGTCGTGGAACAGGGACTGAGAGTATGAATACTGGACCCTATTTACTTCGAAGCATTTGCAGACGATGTAAAGGTACCGGAACAATTGTTCGACATCCCTGTTCGGAGTGCGAAGGAAATGGTAAAATTATAGGCCGTCATCGAGTCAGTGTATCCATTCCGCGGGTAAGTAGCTGACAATTTACCACTTCGTGCGTTTAGACTTTTGTATGATGTTTCCTATTTTTCTGCACAATTCAAAGTATGGCAGCTGAAGTCAATGACTGTTCCTGTCATGCAATTAAATTTGTCATGCTAGCTGAAACACCATCTGTGGAAGCAGCAGAAACAGAAGTATTTACGAGAGCCACGTGAGCTGTAGCCCATTGTCTTAGCTCTCAACTTCCAGTCACTGAGTAACAGGTTTGAATCCCTCACCATTTACTAAGGTTTGGGCAGTTTCATTAGTCCTCACATAAAATAATTTATTCTTTTGTCAGTTGCATGGAAACACTAGTGATTATTCAGTAGTATTTGTCAATTTTTTTCTCTTTACGCAACCATAAAGTTTGATGACTTGTGTAATTTAGGAAAATTAAGCAGATTTGAATGGAAGATGATGGCTATTAGGGGTTTAGAGTGACCAGATTATATACCATAAAAATATTTATTATTAGAAGTATATTGGAGGACTCTAAGTTACTGACACTCCAAATTAGATTTTGTACCGTCGAGAAACATTTAGTTTGTCTCTAAGTTAGGCATTAAATGCTCACCACTGATATGCAGTATGAAAAAAGCTTCGCATTAATTGCTAGCTACTGGAGCTTTGTAGACTGTAAGTAAACTAACAACAACAGGAACATAGTATTTCTGCAAATCGTAATAAATATTAATTGCAGACTTCAAAAATCAGCTTGGACATGGGTGTTTATCATTCCTGTATTATATTTGTAGGCAATAGTCTGTTTATGATAACAGGAAAATATGAAGTCTTAAAAATAATAACAGTTTCAGTCTTTATCAGTTAGGCATGTTTTACACACAGTCCCTTCCGATTTCCTTGATACCGATAGCGTTCTGATAGCTTTGTAATTGACTGTGAAGTACTGTTTGATAAAACATTGTGTTGGGTAACTGGTTTTTAGTTCATATAATAGCATTACTATGTAACAGTATAACATACCACAACTCCAAGTACAATATAATCCTCAATAAGAAATCAGATAACCTGTGCTCTCATAAGTGGAACGAATTGGGAACAGTTAATTGTATTCCTCTATTCCTAGAACTTAGTTGAGCATCAATTCATCAGGCTGACATGATTATCGAGATGAAGAAATTTTTAAGCACCTTCAAGCAATCCGTCATCTGTTGTCGCAGATAGTATTAATACAAACCGGTTAGAAAACAATGATTGGCACTCACAAAGTGTAGAACAGATTTCCATACTGTTCAAGAAATTATATTAGACGTTAAGATTGTTTTGCTTTGGATACTCTAAGGAACCAAGAATATCTGGTTGAATCTAGCATGTAGGGTGAAACACGATTCCGCTAAATAAATTTGTAGATGATGGTTATCGTTAACAGATATTATCTAATTTTGACACCTAAAGGGAAACCCTTCTATATCCCTTTACATTTCTTCTGTCATATTTCTCTCTGCTGATGTTTTACTTAAAACTGGATAAATTTAGAAGTTTAACCATAATTGGAATAGGGTTTCTACTCACCGTGATGTTATTGATCGCTGGTATACTTCTTGTTCTTTTACAACGTACTTTTCCCCTGAACAATTGATTTAAGATGTCTCTTGAATGTAGTTGACTTTGAAGAGGATGATAAGCACGTACGTACGTGCAGTCATGAAATTGTTCACATAAAGTTGTATTCCGGGGCAACAACAACTATTAGTATTCATCCCCAATAGATCACCATCGCTATTCTTGCTCAACTTCATTATATAGAGACACAGTTCGTTTCTTGATATCTGTATTCGTCTGGAGAAACTTGTGTCGACTAGGATTTTATAAGGAGAGTTTTGTGTGACGAGTATATACGCTACATGTCGATGTTGGACAATATACGCCATACTTCGGAAAATTAGAGAGAACGGGCTTAGTGGAACTACAAGGGACGATATATGAGCGAAACAATAATTGGAGGGAAATGGGTGGGGATCTTCAGAATCTGGATGATATGTAATGTTCTAAACAGCGAAAAAAAAACGTCAATATCTAGAATGCTTTACAATTACTAAGTGTAAGCTAATTTATATTGATACCTAGTTTACAAATGGATAGTGAAATAGCTAAGTATTTTCTCTTGTACACTTTCCTCATTCTTGATGACAATCAATTGTATGAATCTGAGTGCATATTTCTTCTTTTTATTACTAGGCGTAGAAGACGGTCAGGTCATACGAGTATCTGTCGGTAAAGATGGTTCCCATACTCAAGAAATATTTCTACAAATTCGTGTAGAAAAAAGCCGTCAATTTCGACGAGAAGGTGCAGACATACATTCAGACATTGTTGTCTCACTTGCACAAGCTGCACTTGGTGGAAAAATGCGTGTTCAAGGCATTTACGAAAGCATACTAGTCAACGTAAGGAGTTTTTCGATGCGTTGATTAAGCGTACTTTCAAAACGGTGTCCTTTTTGTTGATATGTATTGTGTTTGGGCTTTCTATGATGATAGTAAACAGATCACTAACACATTATTTTAGACATCACAATAATCGAATGAGGATACTCCTTGAATCTGTTACACACACCGATAAAAATGTCTTACAAAATTTATTATTTATCAAATTCTCAATTTGCAAATTACCTTGCAATTTACACAGTTCAAGTTCGCGGTGAAATTTCACCACAGTTCCGTGTGGGGACTAGTATTATTCAGGTCACAATATGTGACCTACTTGAAAGCATAAATGGTTATCAAGAAAGCAAGTATATTTACTTAGAATTATGTGCTACTGATTGATTGACATCATTAGTTGTAGATAACGCACCAACCAGTAATGCTCTCTAGCTAGCTAGACCAACGTGATCTAAACACCAGACGAGCGTTCCAATCGGTTGGAGCTCATCAACGGTTCGACTCAGCTCCGACAGTCGAATCAAACCACTTGATGTGAGTTGTCTGCAACTAATCATGGTGTAATGCAAAAATTTTAACCGTCGTCATAAGTGTCTAAGTAATTTACAAAGCACATATATGTCTTCCGGCCAGATAGTATTTTGACGACGGCAGGGTGGTTTACCACACTGACCAGCATTTCACTTGTGTTAATTTTACACACAGCTGGTCAACTTCTTTCCGTCATCTCTAGTAAGATGTTTAGTCAACAAGTTCAAATTTATGAAAATTTATATTTCCCATAAATTTTGTAAAAAGATATCAAGCAGGTGTCCAAATGAAGTCATGAGAATCATAAATTGGGAGGCTTACAAGAGTTTAGGTGGAGGAGGTGGATTGCGACTGTTTCAGATGTAACTGATTTTCCGTGTAACATAACAGCGTGATACGGTGATTTTTCTCAACTGAATCTAACCGACTTCCCCAGCTTAGGTGTGTAAGCAACCGTATATAGTGCAACTCACTTGTGTACATCACCTTATGTTATATACTAAGCTCTACATGACTGGTCATATTAGACATTCTTTGTTCCTTAGAGTATCCAAAGCAACACATTCGTACCACCTTAAGTAATATCCTGATCAAAAAGATCATGAGTAACTACATTGGGATATTACAGTGATTCATGTTTATTTCAGTACTTGTGGGCACTTTAGGTATCTGAAATATGTCGTTGTTGACTTTAGGCGATATTGCCGATTATCATTTAATGTAGTGCTAATTGATTTTTACCATACCTTCATTTTGGTGTTTATATGAACTACCTTTCAGCTTGCTACCAGGGAATAATCTCGTTGACTTGGAATATGCAGACGATATAGTCCTTCTAGGCGAAGACGCTGACGAAATGCAGAGTCTTCTAAACACCTTGAACAGCAATCTACGAATGTTTGGCATGCGATTCGCTCCCGCCAAATGCAAGATGATGTTACAGGACTGGACTACATCGACGCCTAGTTTAAAAATAGGAAGTGAAGTGGTAGAGCACGTTGACCGCTTCACTTATTTGGGAAGTACCATCAGCCCCAACGGGCTGATCTCTGACGAAATCTCAGCACGAATACAGGGGGCTCGTTTCGCATTTGTTAGTTTACGCCGACTCTGGCGTAGACGAGATGTTCGACTATCGACCAAAGGGCGGGTGTACTGCTCATCAGTCCGCTCCTCCTGGCCACTGACAGTGGAAGACATGAAAACGCCAGCTAGCTGTCTTTGATCATAGGTGCCTGCGTTCTATTTCCCGTGTAAAGGGGCATAATAAGGTGAGCAACATTGAGGTTAGGCGTAGAGTTCTAGGTAAACAGGGGAAATCAATCGATGAAGTCGTGAAGCTACAAAGACTGAGATGGTTAGGGCATGTGTTACGTATGCCAAGCCATCGCCTCCCTCGACGAGCTATGTTAGCGGATATAGGGTCAGGCTGGAAAAAAGCTAGCGGCGTTCAAACAAAAACTTGGCATCAGTCAATGAAATCCACAACAGTTGGTCTAAGCCACGTAGGAAGGTGTATACTTCCAGGCTGGGGTCCTCGGGACGGTAAAAATCTATGGTTGGAAACAATTGGTGACATGGCTCGAAATCGTTCTCAGTGGCACAGATGCATCCACTCCTTGTGACTTATGATCTCCAATGAAACTTTTGTTTTTCTTTATTACTCCTTTGTCTCACACCTCTGCTCACTGTCTCTATTATGCTTTTCTTGTACTTTCTTCTCTTGCTTCGCGTGCTACACGGAATGTGGCGACTTGAACTTCCGCACATTTGTGCAGAGTTCTATGTCGAAAACAGACAGACAGACAGACCTTTCAGCTTTATTATATTTCGATCTATTTTACTTTTCCAAAACTTATTATTCCTTTAAGTGATTGCCTTGGTTTTGCCTGACATTATAATTGTCTTTCGGTTTTTATTGCTTTAATTATAAACCATTCGTGTTTTTCAAAGATAAACTGCCGCTTATCTGCAACCCAGTGTGCATCTACTCTTTTATCACGTGCTTTAGAGCTGATTACATTAACCGTTGTGTGTTCTTTGGAAACGCGTAAATAAGCACCACCCGGTTTGGTTGACTGAAAGGCGAGCGTAGGAGGACGAAGTCTTCCATCTGTGAACATCTTCTTGAGTCAAGTTATTCAGCCTCACGTGATTTATCCTTTAAGTGGTATTTATTATTATTCCCTTGGGTTCTGAGTGGAATATAGGGCTTGAACAACACATCTCCACTTTTTTCTGTTCTCTGCTGTCCTCTTCAGCTGGATCCACGATTGACCATAATCTTTCATCTCTTCCTCACACCGTCTACTCCATATCACCCTCACACCAACAACACACTCATCGCTCCCCATTTGGATTCCACTCGAGCGATGGCCTGCATTGCGCGTGATGTCGTTCGACGGTCTCCTCGATTTATGCTCGATCCATGCCTATTTTCCCCCACATATTTGTTGAACGATCGCCTCTCGCCTGTTGGTTTGATCCACTTCAGAGTTTCTTGTTACTAATTCTTTCTGGCTTGCCGGCTGGCCATTTGATCTTCAGTATAAAGCCATAAAAGATGGTGGCTGTTGACAAAAGTCTGCAATTGGCTGTTGGAAATCCTCTTCGTGACTCACACGCAGTGCAAGTTTCTGACCAGTACAGAAGCACTTACCGACTTGACATTGGTGTTAAAAATGAGAATCTTGTTCCTCATACTGAGTGACAGCAGGAGATTTTCAAACTGGTTTCAGGCTGATGAAGGCGTATCTTGCCTCTCCGATCCTGATTGACTTTGACATCTTCATCTGCTCCGCCAGCCTGTAGTTGAAACGATGCTTCCTGGCTGGATAAGTGAAGGAGGCAGCCTCTGTTAAATCTCTCCCATTGATGGTGATTGGTGCTGGTTGTTGTTGATGATGTTGATTAGCTATCTTCATCACCTCCGTCTTTTTTGTGTTCACCTGCAGTCCTGTCTTCGCTGCTTCTTCAAACATTCTGTTGGTTTTCGCTTGCGATTCTTCGAGTTTGTGTGACATTAGACATATATCATCTAAACGTGAAACCCATCTCTTCTATAGTCTTCTTATTTGTGATCCAGCGTAATCCTGTCTCCTCGCTCTCCCAGTGCACAGTTTGACGCATGATCGAGTCCACAACAATTAGGAATATCATCGGTGATAATAGACAGCCAGCTTGTTTTACTCCTGTATGCACTTCGAACGCCTCTGTGAGGTTTTCGTTGTGGGTTACCTGAAACATGCCACTGTCATGTAGCCATCTATTGAATCATATTGGTACAGACTTGAGGTACGCCTTAGTGCTGAAGTAGTTCCTAAATTGCTTTCGGTGGTCAACGCTATCGAAGGCTTTTTCGAAGTCGATGAAGGAAGTTGAAGTAGAGGGAGGTTTGACCGCTATTCTGTGCTTTGTTCTGTTATGACGATGCGTAGAAGTGCAATTTGACCGGCACTTGATTCACCTTTACTGAATCCAGCTTGTTCCAGTGTGTGGTGGAGTTCTGTATCCAATGCATCTTTTGTTCTCTCCAGGATGATGAGACTTATTACTTTACTTGGTGTAGACAAGAGCATTATTCCACGCCATTTCTTGCACTGGCCTAAGTCGCCCTTCTTTGGCAGTTTGACGTGGTAGCCCTTCGCCCAATGAGTAGGCACTTTTCCTTATTTCCAAACATTTGCAGTAATGGAGTGAGAACATCTGCCGTAATCTCCGGGGCCGTCTTCAGTGCTGTCGTGATCCTGCATGAAACGGGTTCCTACTGCATTAGGGCTTTGGCTTCCACTGGTGACATCATGATAGCCACTCCCTCAACGTATTCTAGGTTATCGTCTGGGTGACCGGAGTAGATAATTGACTCTCTAGTTGACAATGTTGTCAGTCGCGGCATCCATTCCAACTGCTTTCGCAGATATCCAGTACTTCTAAGCCATATCTTCGCATCTCTGGCTACCTGGGCAGCCTTCCCAGTCTCATACATTGTACGGACATTCCACGTACCCATTCTTACTCTTGCTTTCATCGAGAGAAAACACACCAGTTAGCTGACTGATTTCCCGAAGGCTTTCATGAGGCCTCTATGTCATTTCGCCTCCCCACTCGAACGAAGAATAAGATTTCTATTTAAAGTTTTTGTATTTTTAATATATTTTCTGTGTGTTGAAGTTTCTTTAGCGGTTTGAATGATTTAGTGGTGTGGGGTTGCTTTTTCCCTACTTATGTATGTATTTAAAAATGTTTTGTTAAACTCCTTTCTTTACACCGTCATTGTAATGTTCGTTTTTTATTTTATTCTATTTTACCACTTGAATTCAGTCCACTTCCCTTTATCTTCGCCTTTTGCGTTATCGTTATCACCATCGTAATTTTATTTATTTATTGACAACACGACCTACTTTAAAACGTTTTACTGTTTCAGGTGTTTAATAATCTTTCAAATTTTGTAGTTCATCCACTTCTAGTCTACTTGAACACGTTAAGTGTTTCGCTGCATTTTTAAAGTTGTTACATAAATATTTAAGTAGTATAGTTATAACAACTATTTCTGTTTGACTCACCTAGGGGAAGTCTTCTCAATATTGATTTGTATTTATCATTGTGTAAACTAGATCAGTTTATTTGATTAGTAGCCATTATAGGTTTTCATCTACCCGTAAAGTTAATCGCGTACTAGGTACTTTCCCATTCATGTGCTCATATTTACCCTTTGTCTGTCTGTCTGTCTCTCTCTCTCTCTCTCTCTCTCTTATATATATATATATATATATATATATATATAGTCCTAGCTGAGGATGTGTAGCGACTCTGCGTGTTCGATCATCGCTGTCTCCACAGGATTGCTTACGTTCGACGGCATCATCGCGTGAGTAGTTCTGAGGTTCGGTTGTTTGTGTTTGAACACAGTGGAGATCACCATTCATTGAGTGTCGTCATCTGGGAACACCGGCTCCGGTGGCTTGGACATATGCTGCGAATATCATTCAGAGGCTCCCGTGCAGGTCTCTGTTCACTGGCCCTGGGACGGGATGAAAAAGGCGGAGGGGTGGTCAGTCCACGACGGCGTCTTCGGATGAAGGATGTTTGTGCTAGATTAGCATCGGTTGGTGCGTCACGATTCCTTGGTTAGGGTCCGCGAGATAGCTCGAAACGTTATCGGATATGGCCAGAAATCGTGATCAATGGCGAACGTGTTGCAATTTCCTTCTTTCTTCCCTTCCCGATGATAGTTAACGAATACTGTTTTGCTTCCAGATGAAGTTCTTTATCAGTTCTCTACTTATATTTTTACTTTTAATCTATGTTGTTTTATCATTATTGTGTGGCGCATCCTTCTGGTGCCGTATTGTACCAAGATTTTTTCTGCGTTTAAATAAATAAATAAATACGTACATGTTGCAATCCTGTTGTCTGTATTCTGTACCATTTTAGATCCCAGCTGGGTCTTGTAGCAACGATAGAATACGATTACCTGGCAAAGGTATTAGTCGAATAAACGGTTATGGATATGGTGATCATTATGTTCACATTCATATTAAACCGCCTAAGTAAGTTCTTCTATAATGATTTGAAATGATGGTGAAGATTTGTTTTGGTGTTCTTGTACTCTCTGAGCTGAAGAACACAATAACTCTGAGAAGTGTTGTTTTTATTTTGAATTAGTTGATTTGGAATTTTTATAAAGCTTCAGAAATATATATTCAGATACACCTCTGGCACGAGGCAAAATCGGAAAAGCAATATAGTCCGTCATTAATCTAAAAGTCGGTGTGGAGATCTGTCGCACACTCATCATGAACAATGGTATTCAGATTTTTAACATTAATGTCAAGTAATTGCTTCTATATGAGTCAGAAACGTGATGCGTTATGGTAAACATTTGGAACAGGCTATAGAATATTGTCAGTATCCGCCAACCACTCCATATTGAAGACCAGGTGACCGTAAAGAATCAGTAACAGAAACTTATGGGAACAAAACCAAGAAACTACTGTTCAACAAATATTCAGGAGAAAATGGCGATAGATTGGACACGCACAGACACACTGAGGACACTGGCGGGTGATATCTCGCACCAGACCAGACACTCGAGTGAAAGCCGAATGAGAAAAGACGAGTTGGGCAGGGACCCATGACATGGAGAAGATCATGTGAGGGAAAGGGGAGAAAACTTACGGGCAATCGTGGATTCAGCTAAAAAGGACTACAGCTTAACTTATCAGCGTATCTTCAGCGTTTAGTTAAATCATATGAATAGCGGAATCAATGTAAGAGTGACTACCGTAAACATCTATGGTAAATATAAGCTTAAGATGTGTGTAATACCCCTGGAGACTATGGTAATAGTATTTACCTTCATATCATTTCGTTTATTAGAGAGTATGTAAATGCAACCTAGTAGAAAAGAGTGGGTAAAGATTGGTAACTGAAGCTGTGCTTATCAAATCGTCCGATAGGAATCATGTGATAGGATTTATTCTGTAACTGTTCCAGGTATCTGATGAATTCTAATACCCTTATAAACAAACGACAACTAAAAAAATAGTTTCAGTGTTGTTTCATTAAACGTGTTAGTACTATAAACAGTAAATTATTGATTGCGACTAACAGTGGAATCCATGACGTTCATTTCATCCCAGTGATTGATAGTGTTCCCACTGAGACTCGAATCCTACACCTATTTCTTCGAAAGCCAAGACCTGATCCACTGTGCTACGAGAACCACCTCTTGTACAACAGGTATCAGTTATTATTGTTTAAGTTGATTGAATATATTAGATCGAAATACTCAATCGCTATTGTGATATATCGGCTCCTAGTATAGATACTTTCTTAGTGCTTGAAGATTCAAATGATGACCTTTAAGACGATAGGTGCGCAAGGTTTGTGTGTCAGTGAGAATATCATCTCTCCCTGGAGATGCAACGTCATCCAGCTGACAAGTCTCAAACTGGACCTTATACACGTCCTCCATTTTACTGCTAGTCAGTCACTTGTAACCAGAATAACATCATGTTAATCTGCAGACATAGTTGAAGCGTCTGGATTACGAGTCCTGAAGTGTCAACAGAGACTAGACATTTTGATCCAAAAGCATCAGTCAACAGGAAATGCAAATTGACCGGAATAATAATGATAGCAGCTTTATTCCAAATAGCACACTTTTGATACAATGTGCAATTTTCAGTATGTTGTACACTACTGTATCTAACCTTTTCCTCATATTAGATAGTGCAGGGGAAAACTATAGGGCATTTAGATTAATAATGTTGCTCAATAAGAATATGAATATATATAAAATTAAAATATAGGTGGAATTGTTAACAACATAATATATTAATGAAGGAAAGAATAAAAATGGTCGTTTACTTATTGTTTCACAGTAAGTTAGTAGTGGCACGCCTTATGAACTTTTCTCATCACATAAAAGAGAAGAGAGTAAAGAGAGATTCAAAACAGAGATAATAAACAGAGATATGAGGCAAAAAGAATAGTAACAAATATGGAAGAACAATATAGTTTTATTGAATATTATAAGTCACAAGGACTGAATGTATCTGCGCCATTGAGAACAGTTTTGAGCCATATCACCGATTGTCTCCAGCCTTCATTGGTTTTTACCATCCCGAGGATCTCAATCAATTGCTGGAGACAATTGGTACTATTGCTCTAAATCGTTCTCAGTGTCTGGTGCAGATGCATTCACTCCTTGTGATTTATAATATCCAATACAATTCTATTGTTCTTCCATATTACTATTCTTTTTGCCTCATGTTTCTGTTTATCTCTGTTTTGAATCACTCCTTACTCTCTTCTCTTGCTTTTTATGCTATATTGAGTATGGCATCTCGGACTGCTGCACATTTGTGCAAAGTTATACGTTGAAACCATCACATGAAATGTGTGCTAAATAAGGTTTTGTAGAACTTTTATACTCAGTCGTTCTAGTAGAAGGCCTTCTGTAATTACTTCTGATCCTATCTGTTGAGATGCAAGAAGAGTTGTGTATTGAGGTGCTAAAGGTCCGATAAGATAAGAGTCACTAATTTATTGCAGGAGTTCTAGTGTCTGTACACAACAGTATTAACCAGTTGGTTTAACGGCACTCGCTCTATCGACAGCTTTTCAGCACCCGTCTAACAAAGTCTTTCTTGATTAGCCCAGGAATCATTAACGGGGAGCAATAAAGAAGAATAGGTAGAATACAAGAATTAACAAATTGTAAGAGTAAAGACTGTGTGTTGGTAGCGCAGTGGTAGAATGCTCACCAACCACGTAGCTAGTTCGGGGTTCGATTCCCGGCCGACGCACTCCTCTACCTCTCTAAGGTAGTACGAAGGCTGGTAAAGAGGCAAGGTTGGGCATGAAGCTAGCAACCTCATCTCGTAAAAATAAATACCCTTGCTACTGAAACTTCAAAGCTCCAGCTTGAAGGCCTATATTCCACTGGGAACCTAAAGGAATGAGAAAAAAGAGTAAAGACTGAGTGTTAACTTTCTTACGTAGAAGGTTAGACGAAATGTCTTTCTACATGATATGGGAAGATCAGAAAAGATTAGAAGACAACTAAGGGTTCCTAACATTCAACTTAGTTCCGACTTCTGTACAATTTATGTTATACGAATCATAGGATGGATAACTCCATGTAAGTCGCGGTTGTATCTGAAATTGAAATTAACAGCCTAACATTTGAAGGGATTTAGCTTAAAACCATTTGACAGGGACCAGTGATTAATATCCAGTGAAATGTTGGTTATTTTACAGGTTTCTTTGCCGTTTTGCTAATTTTACGTGCTATCTGAAAACATATGGGTGAAATTCCAGCCCTTCACTTATTGGTTAAGAAGTAGCCTGTTAAAATTAATGAGCCATAGTTCAACTTCTGTAGAATAATTCATTGTCCACCTTAAGGTGTGTTATATATTTCATCCTTCTTTTCTCTGATTTGTACTTATTCCATCTTCTTCTTTTTTGTTTACAGACGATTGAGTGAATTACAACGAGCTCTACTCCTTGCCTATGCTGAAACGGAAACTGATGTGACTGGTTCAGTCGAAGGCGTCACTTCAACTGATAAACGTTAGTATTTTGAGTCATTTGCTTTTAAAATTCTATTATGTATCATGCACTAAAAGTGTTATGTGTTCCATTTTAAATGTAAGGGTTGGAATTTTGTAGTTGAGTATTCTGTGTTTTAGAACACAATATTGCTCAGATGATGTCGTCATAGTATAACTGATTTCCAAATACACTCACCAGAAAGGTCTCAGTGAATCCGTTTGGTCTTAATTAAATGAATACAGTTCATTGAATCTCCTATATCACCACCTAGACGTCATCATGTTGGGTGGGTGCCTTTTTTTATACATATGATTGAGTAGTTGAAAGTCAAGTTTTTGATTTAAATAGTCAGAATTCCAGGACAGTACAGTCTCCATCATTTTGTGTTGATAAGTTATATATCTCTTAAGAAATTTTTAATAATTACCCATGCCATATATATATTAAAAAGACATAGATTAGGTTGTAACTTTATTTCAAAGCTGTACAGTCAGTTGTATGGTGTTCTAAACAGTTATGGAAATGCCCATAAAGAGTATTAATTGTTACTATTAGTTAGGAACAAAACATATGAAATTATATATCAAGAAAAGTAATGAATAAATTGCAAAACTTAGTTTAGTCGTCTTATTTAATCACCGATGATATTCCTAATTGTTGTGGACTCGATCATGCGTCAAACTGTGCACTGGGAGAGCGAGGAGACAGGATTACGCTGGATCACAAATAAGAAGACTATAGAAGAGATGGGTTTCACGTTTAGATGATATATGTCTAATGTCACACAAACTCGAAGAATCGCAGGCGAAAACCAACAGAATGTTTGAAGAAGCAGCGAAGACAGGACTGCAGGTGAACACAAAGAAGACGGAGGTGATGAAGATAGCTAATCAACATCATCAACAACAACCAGCACCAATCACCATCAATGGGAGAGATTTAACAGAGGCTGCCTCCTTCACTTATCCAGCCAGGAAGCATCGTTTCAACTACAGGCCGGCGGAGCAGATGAAGATGTCAAAGTCAATCAGGATCGGAGAGGCAAGATACGCCTTCATCAGCCTGAAACCAGTTTGAAAATCTCCTGCTGTCACTCAGTATGAGGAACAAGATTCTCATTTTTAACACCAATGTCAAGTCGGTAAGTGCTTCTGTACTGGTCAGAAACTTGCACTGCGTGTGAGTCACGAAGAGGATTTCCAACAGCCAATTGCAGACTTTTGTCAACAGCCACCATCTTTTATGGCTTTATACTGAAGATCAAATGACCAGCCGGCAAGCCAGAAAGAATTAGTAACAAGAAACTCTGAAGTGGATCAAACCAACAGGCGAGAGGCGATCGCTCAACAAATATGTGGGGGAAAATAGGCATGGATCGAGCATAAATCGAGGAAACCGTCGAACGACATCACGCGCAATGCAGGCCATCGCTCGAGTGGAATCCAAATGGGAAGCGACAAGTGGGTCGTCTTAGAGTGACATGGAGGAGATCGTGTGAGAAAGAGGTGGTAGAGTTTGGTCACTCGTGGATCCAGCTGAAGAGGATGGCAGAAAGCGGAAGAAAGTGAAGATGTGTTTGTTGAAGCTCTATGTTCTACTCGGAACGCAAGGGAATAATAATCATGTAAAATAATTTAATCTAAAGTATTAACGAATGAATATTGCTCAGAAATGATTACCATCGCTTACAAAAATTAAGAGACAACAATTTGTGTGGCGTATCTCTTGGTACCCATCATGACGTCAGGTACTTGAAAACATGAATAATGCTCATAAAAGATTCAAAAGTTTTACGGGGAAGAATAATAAAGAACGCATGAATATGGATTACCTACCAAGTGATTATACAATTTAAAAAACAAACAAACAACAACAGAATAAAGTCACGCTTCTGTGTTGTGTTCAGGATTCTCCTTGTGTTTAAAAAATGTTCCTCCTATGAACAGAAGATATATCCAAAAACTGTTCGAGCAACTTGGCCTCATCGTGCATATCACTTTGAAGGACTTTTCTGTTGATTCAGAATGATTTTTCAGAACAAAGGTGCTCAAGAATTGAGCTATCGGTTCGTTTAGTTTCCCTGTAAGACAATCATATTGGAGGATGTTCTTGGGCGTATGAAGACAATATCTTACCGGTACTGCCTATGTACATTTAGCTCCACAGGAGCCCAAATAAACTGATATATGCACACGGATATTGCCAAAAGTGGATCATTGTCCTTGACATTTTGATGATTAAGCGGTTGTTTGGTAAAAGACTCCAATTGTCTATTTAGTGTGTTTTCTATATTCTTACAACTAATTCTTATGCGAAGTGATTGGATGACATTTCTTTTTATACTTAATGGGAAATAAAACTATAGAAGTGAGTTAACTACCCATTTCATTTTTGGTTTGTGATAACTTGATCTCTGGATTGTGAGCCATCAGTTCTCCTTGATAGTTGGACATCTAAGAGGTGGAGTCTGTTCATTCTGATTCAACTACTAGAATAAAGCCAGCTTAACGAAGTTTTGTATTTTACTCATCCTTTCTTGATATGTAATTTCATATTTTCCTTACTGGCTGATATTCAAAATTCACCCTAATGGGCATTTTCATTGTCGCTTAGAACACAATGAAGTTTCTTCGCTGAATTTTGTCTTTTTTAGATTTTTAATAGTTGGAACGTTTCATTTTTTTATTCACTTATCACACTGAGATGCCACTTTAAGAAATCAGTCAGCTTACACTGATCGGTCATGTGTCTGGTCCTTGGAAGTGGAAGGTGGGTGATGATCAGGAGAGCATTGTGTGGTTCTGGAAGTGTATGGGCGGTTGTTACTTCTTGACTACCCACGATGTAAAAGTTGATTTTTTCTTGGGGCACTTGAAACAGAAAGAGAATTATTGCTGCTTGACCACAAAGCCCAGGGGACAACTGCTTGAGGCTGCTTACACATGGCCCATTTAAACCGGTGTTTAAAGTTGTTTCCATTTCAGTAACTTATTGCCGGCTACAGACCACCGTAGAGTAACTCGGGATGTGCAATTTCAGGGGTGGGCCTTTTCTAACCGCTTTCTCTCCAGATTGGAGAGGCAGCATAGTTGACATATACTGGTTGTTTGAAGGAAACGCCTTACTGCTGTTACATCTTAATTCCCTTAGCAGTACTACTTTTCCCACAGGCCCTCAGCATTGTGTAAAGATCTTACACTTTGGTGGTAACTGCTTTTGGTCAAGATAGCAGCTATCGGCTAAGTGGCTAGTCTTCGGTGTTAGGGTTGGCTGGATTCTACGTAGTCAGTAACCAACCAATGTATCCATCATAGTTCTACAGAAGGCCAATTATGAGTTTGAACAGCTCAGTGATAACCTCTGATTGCAATAATGGATAATCTCGAGTTTGAATATTAGAAGGGTCACCAATTCCTTCAAGGTTGCAAGCTAGTGTCAACAAACACGAAACCTAGGTCCTACTGATTGCCTTCAACCATTTACGATCAATCAGTTGGATCTGATTATAGAATATGACTTAGTGTCATAATATGATCGGTGTCTAACGTGCTTAATCTGTAAATATAATCATCCAGTTGTGTTGATCATTGAGATTTGCGTACTTATAGTTCATTCAGTTTCTTCTGACTGTGCTACATGGGTTTTGTGATATGTTCCTCGAAAGTGGACAGTAATGATTATTTAGAAAAAGAGGAAGAAGAGGGCAGCTGTTTTTAACTTTCATATCCCCATTAATTATTATTATTCTCAAATGTTGGGATTTGATTGGTTTCAAGATTTCATCATGAGCTGACATTAGTTAGAGAACCATTGGAAAACCTGGGAGTACTGGACAGCTGTTTCATCCTAGTTCGAGACTCTTCAGCAGTACGCACCCACCGGGATTCGAACCCAGGATCTTCCGGTTACAAGGCGAGCTCGTATACCATTAAGCCACTGGGACCCGATCCAATGGTCCTTGAATTCTAACTTATTATTATTATTATTATTATCATTAAGGATTTTGCATGGGATCGTCGTAGTCTAAAGCCCAGTTTTAACTTTTTTTTTAAAAAAAGCAAGTTTCTCTTAGATGGTAAAAACACTGGATGTTAACTCTCAGTATCAACTTTTTCTTCTTCCTTTCGTCCAAGATTATCCTTTGGAAATTATCTCACAACACTGTTCAAAGGAATCGTGTACATTATTTTTCAGTCTTTGTATACAGTGCTTCTTCATTCTCTTAAATATCAGCTGAACTGTTTTATTATTTTTTTCCAGAAATTCTACTTTCAACTCCTCAAAAGTTCATTCATATTGAGATAAAAAAATTATGTTTCTCACCAAAATTCCTTGACAATTAAAAAAAATTTGTTTCTATTAGTTGGCAATTCAAATGTGAAAGATGCCATCCAATTTTCCTTTTCTTCTAACTGGTTCCAACTTAGTAGGACCATATACTGCTGATTGATTGAAATGAATATTTGTCAGGCTACCACCCAGTATCAACCAGAAGTAGTGCTTCCTTGCTTGCTTGCTGGCTGGCTGGCTAACCAGATTATCAAAGTGATCAAAGTGAACACGGGATGGCTTGTTTTTGTTCGTTTGGGATCTTAGCTTATTTCGAAATCTCGGGTGTTTTGAGGGTGATCTATCTGTCTGAGCTGAGTCAAACTGGGCAATAACACTGGTGAGATCTACCCCCAAACGAGAGAGTAAACGCCGTCCGGTGTTTCAATGACTTCAATCTGATTAACCAGCAAACACCACTGATTTATACAGTGAAATTGTGTTTGCTTTCGTGATATAAATGGTTTATGGTATCAATCAGATCACACATATTATGATCCGAGTTATTTCGGTTTTTGCAACAAACTGTAGTGAAATTTCACCTCCTCAAACTGTATTTAAATTGCAAGCTGAATTGCAAATGGCAAATTTTATTTATGGTTCTAATCTCCTATCGATTAGACAAGATAATCGATATAATAAGTAAGCTTAAATAGTTTCGCATGTCTACCATCCAAATTGAAATTTCCCAACTAATTTCATACGATGTCAAGGGACTACATTGCTCTCCAATGAAACTGGAAATGATTATGGCTTTTATTTTAGCGTGACGTAAAATCTGCCTGCTCGTAGTTTTTAGGCTATTAAAGTACCTTCTTCTATCAAACACACAATGACTTTCGAATTAAGTTTTTGAGTTATTTAAATTTTATCTTAATCAACCCAAAATTTCCTCAGATCTTTGTATTTACCATTTCCCTCTTTGATTGGACACTAGTTAGTAACTTGTGTGGTGTGTGTGTATCTAGTCCTTAGTTTGATGCAGACACTGAATTCTGTCAGTTAGGTTTGCATTGTGGCCACCGTTCTAGGTAGCTCACCATCACGGTGCACATTGATTTGATGATATTAGATGGTTGGAGACAATCGGCAGTAAGTCTTGGACCTAGGTTTTGTGCTAGTTGGCATTCACCAGTCAGAAAGGCCTGTCTACAACTACCTTGAAGGAATTCATGTCCGTCTTGAGATTCGAACTCGTGTCACCCAGTCCTGCAGTCAGATACAATCACGAGCCCAAATAGTTCAGCGGTAATGTCTCTGACCGCAGCACTGGGTGACACAGGTTCGAATCTCAGAAGTGACACAAGTTCCTTCAAGGTAGTTGCAGACACGCCTTTCTTACTGGTGAGTGCCAACTAGCACGAAACCTAAGTCCAAGACTTCCTGCCGATTGTCTCCAACCATCTAATGTCATCACACATGTTTTACACTGTTACAAGTCTATTTATTATACTAAAACGTATTGTAGTGTAGTTAGAAAAATGAGCCCATTTTTAAGTCTCTCCCTTTTTGATCCTTTCTGTAACGTATTTTCAAATTATGCCGCACATATTATCTGATATGTTTACCACCAATGTTGGTTAAATCCTGCAGTCATCAGCAGGTAGGTATCAATAGGTCATGATAGTATGATTTCTTAATTTCATCTAAAATAATTGTGAATTGGCAGAAGTTGAGATTCATAGACAATTGCATTGGGTTTCAGTGGCTTGATGGTCTACGAGCGCTTGTCTTGTCACCAGACGATCCTGGGTTCGAATCCCGATTGGTACGTACTAATGAATAGTCCCAAACTAGGACGAAACAGCTGTTCAATACTCCCTGATGTTCCAGTGGCTCCCTAACCGATATCAACTCATGATGAAATGCTGTAACTAGTTAAATAATTGTGGTTTGCTATGTATTAGTTAATGTTAGTTGGTTGGTTAAAGGAGAGTTTGATGTAGTTGCTCTACATTAGTGGATGGAGCTAACAATACTTCATGCATTTCTTAGAGTCACTGACATATTGCTGTGAACACTTGTTGAGAAGACGATTGACTTTATTGATCAGAAACTGTTAAACCAGTTGAATTTGTGTGTACTGATGTTTTTACACCTGATCAATATATGTAATGTGTGCCAGTTGTTTATTGGTAAAGTGCTTGTCAACCGCAGACGTGGTCCGAGGTTTGATTCTCTACTGACATACTTCCTTAAACCGCCCAGTAAAGTGGGTAGGTTAGGCGTGAGGCTAGCAACTCTACACTACTAATAAAACTTAAAAGCTCTTGCTTAAAACGCTGTGTAATTGTTTTAGAAATTAACAGGTATATGTGTTATCTTATAATGGTTTATAAAAGTGTTGAATATTCTTTATCTCTTCTGGATTATCGGGTTTTTTCCTGGTTCGAATTTTCTAATGGAGATCATTTCTTTCGGCGTTGTAAATGCACCTTTTTGATGAGTGCCGATTGTCTCTATTCACTTAACACCATCACATTTATTATTTCGCTTTATGAAATACATATATTCCTCCTATCTGGGTAACTGAGTAGTATTACCGATATGGGGAGTCTATTCTAGGCAACTGAATTCTAGTTAACATTTTGTGTAGTCTCATTTATCTGTAAAACAACAAGACGAAACAGTTGTCTATAACAACAAACCGGGTTTATGGCTTCCATTACTTATAAAGATTGAATGACGTACTGAAATAATTTCTTTTAGAATTAAATGAGTAGTGTCTAATATGTTTACAGTGAGCGATTTATTGTTAATACAGAATTTAACGACCGATTAGCGCTATTCATTGCTGTTGTGTGCCTCAATAGCTGTCACCAAAGAGTTCGATTATCTGTTGGCGCTCCCCTTATACCTGTGGTAGTAAGCCTGGAAAAGAGATTACAAACTCCACCTCATAAAAATGACATCACGGTCACTAAAACTTGAAAAACCATATCCTACTGGGAATGAAAGCAGTCATGATGATAAGCGTACATCGGTGGCACAGCGGTAGAGTGCTCGCCGACCACACACGCGATCCGTGGTTCGAACCCCGGCCACAGACGCACTCTTTTACCTCGCTAAGCCAGTAATAAGACTGGTAAAGAAGGAAGGTTGGACATAAGGCAGGATAGCAACCCCATCCTGTAAAAATAATCACAACTGCTACAAAAACTTCAAGCCTGTAACTTGAAGTCCTATGTTCCACTAGGAAGGTAACGGAATAAAAAATCGATGATGATGAGGGAGAAGAAGAATCGGTGTGATATTTGTGCATTTTTAACTGTAAGGAACAATCACTAGTTATCTTCCCCAGTCATTCTTGACTATTCTTACCAATCTATTTACTCTGTTTCAATCATTTATATCTAGGAAAACAAAAGAAACTATATTTATGCACAGTTTCACACTGAAGTACAACTTATTTGAAAAAAGCGAATACATTTCTTCTTATGCTATACTTAATGTATGCTAAATACACTTTCCGGATTTATTTTGTGTACATATCGACTTTACTTCTTGTTATTGGCGACAATGGAAATACACTTTTACTTTCTAAATCAACATACTTAACAAATAAGTTTATCACTCATATTTCTTAGGTCTTCGTCAACTGTATGAAAATTTACGTGATACATTTGGTCGAAATATGGATACTGAATCAAAAGCGACATCGTCTTCTTCTTCTTCTTCTTCTAATTCATATTCGGACAATCATCATCGTCAGACTGAAAGTAGGGAAGAAATGATGGAAACATCCAGTATTTTCAGTCGAATAACTGATGGTGTTAAACAGTTGTATGATACAGCTATTAAAACTTTCAAGAAATAGGTATGATCATTTTATGCAATATGTATATTGAAAAGAAAAGTTCATGTATTCATAGAGTGTGATATATTCCACTTTGGACTTATACACATAGAAATGACTAGCTTAACTAACTAAATTTCTCAATCCTACTTTAACGTGTGTATCAGTTGTTCAGATTTTGTGACTTTAGAATTCTTAATAATTCACGGTAATATTATAGTCTACTGAATTACTCTATATTGTAGTAATAGATTTGTTTTCTTTTGAAAATAAGTCTCGTCTTTTTGTATTCATTGTAATTTATTTATTGTAAACTTTCGCTATGCATTAAAATAAAAAAATTTTTAGTATTGTTTTTACCTTATAACTGTTTTATTTGTCTTGGTAAAAACAAAAGTGGGTTGTTTTTGAAAGATTTTATTGATTTACTTCCTGAGTTGGAAATCGGGCTTCAGGCGAGAGGTTTCAAGTTTCGGTAACAGTGGTTCTTATTTTTTTACAAGTTGGGATTGCTAGCCTCATATCCAACCTCCCCTCTTTACTTGCCTTACTATCTACTGGCTTAGCGAAGCTTGGAGTTCATCGGTCAGATATTGAACCCTAGACCATTTCAAGCGTGGTTGGTGAGCGTTTTACCACTGACGCACATTATCCTTCTACTGCATAGTGTTCCTTTTTAAAAAAAATATACTGTACATTTGGAGCTGTGCTATTCCATGTAATTAATGTATCAACATTTCACTTTAAACGTTAAATATGTGCTATAAACGTACGTTCTTTGTTCCTCAACCTCTTCGGGGCTGGCGTCTGCATATTGCGATTTTGTCCTGTTGTTATGATTAATTAGTAATGGTAATAACTGTATAGTTTTCTTCTTGTTGTATTTTAAAGTAAATAAAATGTTTGCTAAATAAAATCATGCTTTGTTTTTGTGAGATTTCATTTTAGTCTGCCCTTACTGAAAGTAATGAGTTTAGGATTCGATCACCCTAGACACGAGTTTTCATTCCCTCCATACTGACTAATTTTGGTTTTGCGTAGGAATTCGACATATAAATAACCACTTGTCTCGTCTCTCCGTGTTAGAAGACAATTTAATGAATAACGTTTCATTGTGTATCTATGCTCCTCACTTAATACTAGTCTGTCTGTCTGTCTCTTGACCCTCATCCCAACCCCTCGCCACCCAATTTGTTTGAGTACTCCTGGTTGTTTTTTTTATTCTTTTTTTCTTCTTCATTTTTCGCTCATTATTTATAGATGGTAAACGGGCTATAGATACGACACAAGGCTTTCTACTTTCCCGTATTCGAATGGCTGTTCAAGATCCTGTCTCCTCCTCATCATCGTCTTCGTCATCCTCTCAGGGGGATACAAAACAAGAAACAGAATCAGATAGAGGGGAGAAAAATTCCAATAAAAACTGTGTCTAATATGTGGATGTATGTATGAATGCTTTTAAAATTTATTATTATTATTATTGTCATCATCATCTTCGACATACAACTCCCTATCCAAATACGCTACACTTATTTTTATTCTTTCAAAATCAATTCGTCATTAATTATTTCTGCGACTTAATCAAAATTATTTTTTGTATTGCGCAGTGGTTTCTTTTTCTCTCTCTCTCTTCATTTTTCAATTACTTTTTTTGAATGATTGCTGATTGCTATCGTTATCTGTTGCATAATTTTCCCCGGTCAGCGTCAATGCATGTCTATCTTTGTATTGTAATACACTTAATTGTTCAGTCTCTGAAGACGATATATATTCCATAGGTTGTCATTGTTTTTTTCTTTTTGAGAGGGGTTCAGCTACTAAAACCCTTTGTGTATATTCAGTTAGGTGTCCTAATGGTGACACTGAGTGATATAATCTCCTTTATTGTATAAGTTAGACTGCTTCTTTATACAGCTGTTGATTTTTTTTCGTGCTTATAATTGATTATCTTTTTATGGCGATGGGTGGTTGCTGGGAGGCCGGTGACTTATTGTAAACATGAGTTATTATGCAATGCTGATCTTCCATTTTGTTCAAATCATTCTGGCATTTTTATCTTCTCTCCTAGTAATTTAGATGTGTATATCCTTTAGTTGTTGCTTTTGTTTGTTTTTCATTTCATCTTAAAAAAAACAATAGATAATACAGAAATGAAGTATGATGTTTTATTTCGAAATGAAATATTTCTTCATGATTGCCTTGTTTTTTTTAAAAAAAAAGAATGCTGTTCAATCCTTGGTAATTCAGCTGCTCACTATCTCTGTGTTCATCTTTAATAATTACCCCAGGAATTATTTAAGTAATAGTTTATATACGTGTGTAGTGCAATATACTTCCCCAAAGTTGTTGGCTTATCGGGTGAAGTTAAAGTATCATAGCCCCAAGTCAAGGTCTTTCAAAAGTTGACCTTTCAGAACTAGTCAAATACAGGGAATGCTATGAAAGGTCATTCCAAGTCAAATCATGCCTGCCTTTTTGAAGTTGGCGAGGATAGATACAGTATTCTACTTATTTACTAGGTGCTTTTTCTGCGTATCTATACTGTTAGGTAGGATTATGGCTTTGCAGTTTAAGGTTAAAGTTAGAAGTAGGTTGGAGAAAAAAGTCAAAAATATCAATAGATCTCAAAGTACCATGGACTACAGTCACCTGGATGAATGCATACATTACGCATGGTGTGATTTCCATGTAGATCATTTGTGTGGTGACTAGGAGACATTTTTACAACACTCAGGTAACAACTATGTAGTATAATATCATATTTTCAATGTTTTCTAGTGCGTTTCCCAACGATTATGCGACTTTTTGCATCTGAATTCTGATTCTTTGACCAAGGTGACGGTGGTTTTGGTTGTGATGGTCTAACTCTACTGCCTATTCATCACTTAACATTGAATGCTGACTTTCATTGTTTAAGTTGACTTGTTATCCAGAAGGCTTGCTGTAAATCGTCTACGCCATTGTGTTACATGCGTTCGTTTGTGTACGGGCTCTTGCTAGTTAAACAGTTGTTCTCGCACTACGATTTTGATCCTGAAATATATTTCGAATTTTGAACTATCAATATGGGGTTTTGATGTGTTTTTGGTCAACAAAGAATCAATACTTTATGAGTTGTAGGACAACAGCTTGCGTTGGCATATATCTTACTTTGCTTAAACCGCCTCATCTCCTGAAGGTGTAGCAGTTCGACAAATTAAAACGACAAAAAGCAAAAAAAGTAACAGATAAGACAACTTTAAATAAAGTCATCATAAATGTTTGACTGCGTCATGTCTTATAGCAGTGACTATGTGTCAGCTTTGCACTAAACTAAATGATCGTCTCAATAAGCGTTAGTAGATATTGTTGAAATCAAGTAATACTTTTTAGTTTACTGAAGACCTGTTATGTTTAAACAGTGAATGTAATACAGCATATTGTCTCTGCTCAGTGAGAAGTTCAGATGGACAGGTTTTATGATATTCATAGGGAGAATATATAGTAAAATACTTCTATTTATTATGTACAAATGAGATACATTGAGTCAAGGAATTCTGTCGTGTAACTGAACTCTTTCAAGGTGGCTGGTTTCTGTTTGAGCAATATTCCAGTGATATCATTTGGCAACAGAAGGAAGTCAAATTGAACCATAATCACTTTTCTAGATGCATGATTTTGCGAAGTTAAAGAATTCCTTAAAATTATTAGCGTACAGGTATTATCATCATCATTTAAAATTGGATGCTGAACCTCACTATTTTGGTCAACTGGTTTAGTTCAAGCCACGCGGTATATCAACAATTTAGCAAGCTGTCATAATATATTCGTTTGTTCGTCAACAACTGACCCATTAATTAAGCACACAACCTGCTCAACATTACTGATACTGAAAGATACTTTCTATCATCCTAGACGACTCAACAGTTCCTTTATTTTGGTTTTCTAGCTGCTCTGGTTCACGTCGAACAAGTACACAGGGAGTTGAAGGATAAAATACACTTACCAATACATTATTTTTCCTTGCTGACACCCATTTTCTCAAATCTAATGAACCTGCAAGCAAATTTCATTCAAAGACAAGGATTTCTTTACTTTGTGTTTAATAAATTGATACTATTTTTGAACTCTTATTACCATGTGTGACCAAAGCCTGAAACCCCTTGGCTTCAGACTGAAAAGCATGCTGATTCAGAAGGTACCCATCTGAAATGATGATGCGGAGACATAGTTTTTGAATGTGGAAGCGGATTTCTATAAACATGTTGTCACAGATTAATTCTTTAGGAAATGCTAGAAGTCACATGGGCACCGAAAGTGCTACAGATAATTTTTAGAAGAATTGCAAAGTGTGCTAGTGATATTGTAGTCAGTCCTTATTGATGACTTACCTACACTCTCCGGTAGAATACTGAAGATAGCCCAATCAACGGGTACTGGAGCATGCTGGGTCTGTCCAGCGTCATCCACTGTTAAGTACAAAATGACAGAAATATTAAACACTATCGAGAAACTGATTATGTCAGAAAACTGTCATCTAATCTCATTCCGACTGCAGGAGACCTTTCATTTTTAACAAATTCATCAAGACCTTGGGAAACTTTCCTGCTAGAACTCATTGGCTAAGGCAGCCATTAATGGTAACATACTAGAGACACTCTCTAAGACAACCGATTCCTCGTTGATACTACTGTAAAGACAAGCGTCTTTACAGCCATACAGATAGTCAGTAGGCGCCTAAGCTCAATCCACAGGAAAGCTTGTCTCAACCTTTGAGATAAGGTATGCTTGTTTGAATACAGGCTTACACGGAACTATTCGCTGTAATTTTCTTTCTGTTGACGTCAAGCTGCACCGGATAAATCTCCATGACCCGCTCGTAAATTTCTGCCAACAACAATTGATAAAAGGTAGCATTAAACCGTGAACTAAGTGGATCAACTACTTAGGTCAAAGCTGATAGTTGATAAAGAGATAGAAGTTAGCAGATCTAAACTTTCGACCAATCGTCGTCAAGAATACTGAGCTTCGCTGTACAACAA